AGCTAAACTTGTAACATAACAAAATACAACACACATACCTTCCTTGGTGTATTGATCCAAGCTAAACTTGTAACATAACAAAATACAACACACATACCTTCCTTGATGTATTGATCCAAGCTAAACTTGTAACATAAAATACAACACATATACCTTCCTTGGTGTATTGATCCAAGCTAAACTTGTAACATAACAAAATACAACACACATACCTTCCTTGGTGTATTGATCCAAGCTAAACTTGTAACCAAACAAAATACAACACACACATACCTTCCTTGATGTATTGATCCAAGCTAAATGACTAAAGTGTGAGTCCGTTGAGACGGCTATAACTTCAGTGTTTAACCCTTTAAATTCACCTGCTCTCTCACTGAAGGCTATAATCTCAGTAGGACACACAAATGTGCTAAAAAATAAAGAAATGATGACACACTTAAAATATTCAAATCTGATCACTTGGTATAAATTTTGGGAAGTAAATAAGCATTAAAATATCCGTGAAAAGAGCAATTTTGTTGTGTGTTTTTTAATCAGACCCTAAAACTTACTACAAGGAAGAAATGTGAATATTGGACATTCACATAAATTGTACAGCATGTAATAAACAGGTTGTTCCAAACACTGATGGCTTCGATTTAACTCTTTTTCTGAATGGTTCGTGGTATTTGTTGGTACCTTGCCAGTCTGTGTGTCATTCTTACCTTTATGTACTTTTTGTATGTACTAGTACATTAATCTGGAATGAATACAGATGTAAAATAATCAGTATTCTACACGGGACCATATAATTATCGGCCCACCCTGTATATTTCAACACATGCATACGTTAGAACACACAAACCTGGCCTAAGCTTCATTGTTAATATAAAAACATTATATATTGTTGTCAAACTTACTCAGGCCCGCCGACAGGAGGGGGGGGTGTAGCAACTACCAAGGGGCCCAGGCGAATGAAACCTGGTTATGCCATAAAGCCCACAAAGCATCTTTTGGCTACATCTTCATTTAATGATAAAAACCATTGTTTTTGGCTTTTCTTTGCATATAGACGCTTGATACATTAAGAACAACTGAAATAATAATTTGAGTAATAATTAATATGTATTTGTTACTTTATAGATTTAAGAGATATTTGTTGTTACTTTATT